CTATGGCCTGGAGTTCCAACACGTGCAGCAGCTCCAAGGACAGAGTGCGGCTCCTCGGCAAAATACGGTTCTCGCCGGAGATTTCCGCACACATGATGGCCACATGTTTTAACACTTGTTTACCAATTATACGGATGGAGGGCAGACCGTTATCAAAACGTGTCTCCCGCTGGACAGCTCAAAGTTTTCATCCCACCGATTAGTGCTTCGACTAGCTCGAAGGATCAAGGGTGGATCCTTGACAACATTGCCTGAGTGGTAGGCTCAACTGGCGCTCTGCATTTCAGGAGGGGACTCGGGACCGAAGGGTGTATGACAGCATCGCCGATGCATCCTGGGTTTACCATTTCCCTCCCTCCTCCTCTTCCTCCTCCTTCTCCTCCTCTCCCTCCCCCTCCTCTTCCTCCTCCTCCTTCTCCATCCCCTCCTCCTTTGTCACCCACAGCGTGGGAGACGTACTGGCGCTCCCGAGGGGGCACCTATGACCAGGCACTCCCAGCTGCAGAGGGTTACATTTGACCGGGCGCTCCCTGGCGTTACGCGTGGCCAGGGTGTCGGTTCTAGGGAGTATCGTTCTAATGCAGCTTGAGGGTGGAAGCTTGCGATACCAAGGGCTATCCCTTTTATACACCTCGTCTTCACCGAAGGCGTCGCCAGGGTGCTTGATGAGCTCAACCGCCCTCCTGTTTGTTCTAGTTTCGAACTCAGCTCCGGATTCGAATCCAATCCAATCTAACTCCTTGGCGGCGCTCACAAGGGGGTAGGTGAGGGCGGTGAGGGGGAAGGCTTCTTAGAAGGAGACTGCTTCTTCAAAGGCGGCGGCCGTACATCTACAGGCAAGGCCCGCGCCTTATAAGAAACAGGGGTGCTTCTAAGAAGTCCCCCCTCCCCCTACCCCTCAGGGGTGACGATCGGGGGGGGGATAGGCATTGGAGGGGATGCATCGACCCCCAGTCGCCCACCGATCGCCGCCTGATAGCCCCAACCTGCCCATTGAGCGTGCGGATGGGGGCCTGTCGCCGATCCATCGGCGATGCATCGCCGAGTCCAGGTTGACGTGTCCCCCCGCCATGCCAGCCCCACCCCTATCGATGCCCCTGGGCCCCTCCGAGGGGCCTCCTCCGCGCGCCGCCGGGACCCAGTCCTTCGCCTCCCCCCTCCCCGCAGGACACCTGCGCCGCCGGCAGCGGCAGCTGCTCCGAGTCCAGGTGCTGCTCCGCGCCCGGCTTCCAGTGCTACGAAAGGACGCGGGGGTGTGGGGGGGGCAGGCAGTGGCGAAGCGCCCTGGCCTGCCAACAGCCCCGCCAAAGAATGCTCCAAGAAACTTCTGTTGTTGTCTGCGCGGCATGTGTTTCAACACATTTCTGGTTGAAGCGGTGTTGTTGTGATCCATCGGCTTGTTATGTCGAAGAACATGGTGTTGGTGTTTCGAACATTTGTTGTTGCTTGTTGTTTTCGTTTTTCGTTGTAGGCCTACAGGATTGCTGGGACGGTCGGTCCCTGCTCAAACCCAGGGGGCGGTCCCGAGCAGTTCCTCTTCCTCCTCCTTTGCTCCTCCTCTCGCCCCAGCACGCTCGGTACCACCCTCGGCGCGCAGTCGTTCGCACATAATGCAATGGGGCTACACGCTTTCGTTCAACACATGTGGGCCAAGTGGGCACCACTGCCATGATTTGCGATCATGACACTTATCCTGAGACTAGCCGCCCTGAAGGCTGTGCAATCGCCAGTATCCTCCTCCTCCTCCTCCTCTTCCTCCTCCTCCTCCTCTTCCTCATAGAGAGCAACGCCCTGTTGCACCCCAAGACGTGTCAGTAGGGCGGGCACGTCGTTTCGCCCGAACCTGTTCCTCCTACCCCTTCTCCGAGCAAAGAGACGACGGTGTTCCTTCCGATCGATGTCGGTTCGGGGATGGTACCCTGCTGTTCTTCGTGATTGTTTTCTGCATCCTTGGGGAGGAGACCCTCGACTGTTCTTCAGTTTGGCCGGCGGAGGGTCTCATGTACTTGGAGGATGTTCTTTTGTCCCAGGGCCGGCCGCAGTCCTTGCCGGCCTCCTGGAGGCCGTTTCCCAGCCAGCGGTGTCGTCGGCGGCGAGCGAGGGGGGGAAATGAGAAGTGGAGAAGTCTTTCCCAGAAGGCGGCGGGACTTCTCAGAAGGCCCGCCCTTTCCCACTTCCCCCCCCGCTATCGCCGCCAATGTCAACAACCGACTCGGGATGAACAGGTGGCCCCGTGGAGGAGGCCGCCGCCCTGGGGGGCCACGTCGGAGGTCCGGCGGAGAGCCGCGCCCCACACCCAGACCCGCATCGGATCTCGTTCCCTCGGGACTGCCGGGCGCGTAGCTGTCGTCACTTTGCTGCGCGTGGGCGTTATCGTTTTTTTGTTTGTTTGTTGTTGTTGTTGTTGTTGTTGTTGTTGTTGTTGTTGTTGTTGTCATTATTGCTTTGTTATGGTTATTGTTTCTGTTCTTGTCATTGTTGTTGTTATCGGTGTTGGTGT